GTCTCACTGTTCCCTGTTTCTGATCAGTTTATTGCTCCAATAGCAAAAAAGTGTTTGTGCCAAATGCAAATATTCTCAGCCCAGATTCCTTAAGGAATGTTTTTCCTGGGTTCTCTCCAACAATATTTTCTGCTCTTACTGTTTTTCCAGAAGCTTCGTATTGCATTTTGTACAGTATTATTCAGATTCTTGTCCTTAGTTATTTTCCAACCAAACACCGTGCAAACCAGTGCCCTTAACTGAAGACCCTCTGGGATCCTGTAGAACAATTTTGACATATATGTTAGACTATTACATCAGCAGATTATGATCTTTTCCCTCCTCCACTTAGATTTTTTTAATCAAATTAACCTGTCAAATACAATAAACAATCATAATAATGATATATTTGTTGCTGCTTATTATTGCAGGGCAATCAAAACACCCACAAGGGCTGAGGCAATGTGTTGTTTTAGAGTGATTACATTTATTTTGAGCAAAATAGAGTAGGAGCAACCAGGGTTTTCATTAGCTCCCCTGAAAGACTGGAGAATTATTTCAGCAGAAGGGACATGACCAGCTCACCTCCAGTTCATTTCTCTCCTGTGTTTTATGCAGTGGAGGTATTATTTTCCCTAAAGCATCCCTGAAATACCAGAATATTTGTGGGAGTTGTGATCATGATTATGCAGCCACTCTGGATAATTCCTTCTATGATTTAATTTTAGCTGTAGTAGAGGTGGCAAATCACCATGTATCAGCCTCTACCAAAATATTTTTCTGGCAACATTGTTTTAGTGGAAAGGTAGAAAGCTCCCGAGAAGGATTAGTGAGCCTCTAACATACACATCTGGTGGATTAGATCATGAAGATAAGAAATATGTTGTGTGTTATGCAGCCTATGAGGTAATAATCACGTTTTAATGAGAAACTGCTTGTGGGGAACAATCTGCCCCTCAGTCAGGTTGCTCAATCTAGTGCCAGTCTGCATTGGTTTTGGGGAGTAGTTTTTAATCTGCTGTTCAAGTTAGTCGCAGTGGAGATTTCAAACCCATCTCTTCCCATTAATCCTACCCTATTAATCTCATGAATTATACAAATGACTAAAACATCAATAAAACAGAAATAAATCCGAGTTACTTTATTTGCTGTCTTAGCCTATCTTGTAGGAAGAGTACAGTCCTTGAACTGTTCTTTTTATAACATTGGCAATGCTTAGATACTGCAGGGCTGGGTGTACTTAGTAATCACACAGAGATAGTTTAACCAGTTGCTGAAGAACTGAATATATTTCCTTGCTTCAGTTATGGTGCATGTGAACCTATTTTTATGTCCTCTGGTATTTCTCCTCCATAGAAATACTAATTATATAATTAGTCTAGAGAATGTTATCTTTTTTGTCTGTTGATAAATACGTGGTTTTTCTCATGTTTCTTGATCTGATCTTCTAAGTGAATAAGAATAGAATGACATTGCTTTCTCTCTGATAACCTTTTAGAAAGGCACCTGTTTTCCTACTGGTAATTTCTTCTATCTACATCATATCTACTGGAGTTTGGATCTTTTTTCCTTTCAGTAATTTCTCTCCCATGGATTCTGCTTTTTAGTTTCCAACATTTTTGTCATCCTTCTGTGACTAATTCTCCGAATAAGACCCAAGTTTTTGCTCACTTAAGCAAGGATGCACAAAGAGAAAAAGGTCTTGTGGCATCAAAACAAAGTTGTTAAATAATTCTCCTGTCTCCCACTCTAACTGCTGTCCTCTATTATTAGGACCATTTTAGGAAAACTTTGCTGCAAGCCTTTGAATTGGTATTTTGTCCACTTGCAAATATGATCTCTGTTCTCACTAACTTCATGCTGCATAGCTAGGAAACCAGTAAAGGAGGGGACAGCCTTTACTGAGGTAGTGTATAGCCTTCTGCAAGTAAAATAACTGCTATTTTTTTGTCTGGTTTTCTCCTTTATTAACTGTGCAGAGGCTCCTGTGTATAAATTAACATTTCTGAAGAGCACCCCCAGAAGAAATCTGCTTGCTTTAGAAAGAAATTTGGAGAAATGTCAGAGACAAGATTAGAGGAGTTGCCCTGTGGGAGGTAGTTTGCATCATAATGCATCTTTCTCTTTGTCTGTAGTTTGGTTGTTTTACTATTTGTTTTATCATTTGCCATCTTCGGGAGGAAACTTACACATTTTTAAGAGACTCAGGCTAAGGGAGCAGCAAGGGCTGTAATTCTCAGATTTTCTATTCTACAGCCCCATTTTGTAACGACAACAGAGCAATTGCAGCTTCTATGCAGTTCATGTACTGCCCTGTGCCCCATCAGACAGTGGTGCCTCTGTCAGCCCTCACGAATTTGGGTGTGCAAATCCATGACATAACTCTGGTCTTCATCAGTAATCTGGAGTGTGATTTTGAACAAGTTAGTACACCATTCTGTAGGTATTTGTGCTCTTGTCCATTGTCTGTTTTGTCTCTTCAGGTATGAACAGACATATTCATGACAAGGTAAATGGCAGCAGACTTGATCCAGAGGGAAGCAGTCACAGGCATGGATTGCAGGTACTGTGTTATGCTACTTTAACTGTTTTTCTCACTCCTATTAAGATCTCTCTTACTTCAATGCATTGGTGTGGCTGACAGGAAAGAGTAGAGAAATTTCCTCGTATATCAAATTATTTGTCATTTTGTCTAGTATCGAAGCCCTCACTTGTTTGACCACACACTTCAGGATGATGAGAGTACCCACTGAAACACCCTGCTAGCTGAGTGGGAGAAAAAGAGGTTATCATTGTCTCCTGATGCGAAGTTCACCGTTCATATCAGGAGGTTTACTCATGTTTATCTTTGAAAGCTTTAATACAAAGGTAGGTTCAGCCTTTTTCAAATCTGTGAACTTGGGTGACCTTTCAGAGACCATTTATGTGCATTTGATTAATGAAGTGATTAATTTACTACACCAACAATCTGCTGAGTATAATGCTTCAAGGCTTCTCTTTGGACTGCAGATATGAGGATGTGGAGGTGAGAAATTAAGGGCCTTGACAAAGCTGCCTCCCCTTTTTTTAACAGTCTTGTAGAGATTGTTTAGTTTGGGTTTGTGGCCTTCAGAGAGAAAACAAAATTAAGTATGTTTCTACTGTACATAAAGATAGGAATTGCATGATTATTATTTTTTAGACACTGATTCTCCAGTGTTGTTTCAAACCTTGAAGTTATGTTGATGTGGCCATGGTAGGAGCTGTGGACAGGAGACTGCAGCATTTCTTAGCCTCTGAGCTCTGTTTTTTTGCAGAGGTCTGGATGAGAACTCAAGATAAATTATAGTGGATAAATTCCTGTCTAATGTTTTCTTTGCTTGACCTCTGCAGACTGATGCAGAAATGGAATTCATGAAAACCAACCTTTTTGTTAGTTGCAAGGACCCACAGGAATCTATGCCACTCTTTGTAAAGAAGTGCCATCTACAGCCTATCTTAGGCAAACTGTTTCCTGATAATTAAGGTTAGTAAATAAGTCTTTCATTTTCCACTGAAATACACAGCAGGGAAGGTTGCTGCTAATGGGAATTTTGGATGCTCAGCAGCTTCCAGGGTTAATTTTTTCTCTGTTGGATTTAAAGCTAACGTTTCACAGCGCTGTAGGACAAACTGAAGAATGTGTTTTGGGAGAGATGCCTGAACTATCAGAGGACAGGACTGTTTTATAAGAGTTTAGATGCTGAAACACTAGTGAGATTTTATTTTATCCTTTTAAGCAATCACACTTTATTATAGCTTCTTAGACTTTGGTGCTTTTTATTAGCCACAGTTACCAAAGGGTAGTTTACCTAAGAAAAACGCGTTGCCAACGAGCAAAGTGCCAGACCTCCATTTCAGCTCCCAAGGAAATAACCATTGCACGATCAGCCAAACCTGTTGTGCTTTCCATGTACTGTACTGCTTGTTCTGCTCAGTGTGACTTCAGGGTAACATTTTGCTTTCAAAAGGCAGCCTAGTCAGCTGTAAATAAATAATGATTCCCTAGTATAAACCAGAGAATAGAACTTTCAGATCTTCTCAGAGCTCAGAAGTGTCTCTTGTTCTAAATATCCTGGATTTTTCTGACCTCTTCTAGCTCAAACAGAGGATCACAGGCATCGTTTGGGGAAGCTTCTTTATTAAGAGCTGTGAAGATCTGTTATAATCAGCGCGTTCACATCTTTGTGATCAGTTATTTTGCTTAGCTTGATTCTGAAGTCAGAGGAACAAATAAAAGGAGAACAGACCCAGGCTCTGATGAACTTTGAACTTATTTGAATGTGAAGCTGATTAGCTACAATAGAAAGAACCAACACCACGGTCTAAACACCCTGAAATTCAGCACAGTAAGCTCCTGGGTCTATGTCTTGTGGTTCACTAGCATCTCTGCTTGTATACATGTGAGAGATGTAGGCAGCTTCTAGTTGTCTTCCCAGAAATACAGGGCTGTTTCTCCATGGAGTAACGCTGCCGAGCTGAGAGATGACACAGAGGGTGTTCCAGCTCCTGGACCCCTGGGTTTTCCCCAGATGCCAGGTCACTCCTCCTCACAGATAATTGCTTGCCATCATCACCTAAGAGAACTGCATCTTCCATGACTAGACTTACAGGTACAACCACTTAGAAAAAAAAGCACACCAGTATTCAAACACAGTGAGGTAAATATGCGGGTTTATTGCAGCCAAGCCACTCCTTTCCGTCCTCATTCCTTCTCAGACATCCGCTCCTGGATGTTAAAATGCTGAGCACCTTTGGCAGGGCAGTTGAACTCTGAAATCTGCAAGCACCTGTAACATCGAGCAGCAATATTTGGGAAGGAATTGTCGTCTGAGGAAAAGCAGCAGCTTCAACTTGTGTCCCATGCTTGTGTTCCATGGGGGACAAGTGAATCTGAAGTTATATATTATATAAGACTTAGGGGATGACAACAGTTTATCATTAACCTGAACTCTGCAAGAAACACATAAGGAGAGAAGAAGACAGCCAGAGAAGCAGCCAGGATGGAATCCGACATAAAGATCAACAATGCTGCAGACATCTCTGTTATTGTCATCTACTTTTTGGTAGTCCTGGCAGTGGGACTATGGGTAGGTTGGGATTTTATTTTATTTTTATTTTATTTTATTTTATTTGATTTTATTTGCAGGTAGTTTAGAGGATCTTGAGAAAATGGCTCAGTAAATGACATTGTATAATTGTATAAAGATTTTGGTGCTTAACTGAGTTGATAAGTGCATGGTAGGGAAAATGTGGGTATTTACTGGAGAGGGGATGGCAACCTGGGGAGACATCCATTTAGGTGGATGAATGGAACTAGGGGGAAAGTGGAGTGGTGAGGTGTGTGTGGGGAAGGAGCTGAGAGGTCAGATCAGTAAATATCAGGCCAGCTGGGGTCTCTATTAGGAAGCAGGTGAGTAGATGGGGTTTAGCACTGCAGAGCACTGGGGCTGCAGTGAGAACTGATGTGAGGTGATGACTCTGTTCATGATCTATGCACAGACTGGTGCCTCCTGCCCTCACCCTGGCAATGCTGAATATGCTGAGGACTGCAAGGGAAAACGCTGTGCCTAATCCGAAAACAAAGCATGGTGCTTTCACAGCTGATGGAGAAAGGCAGATACCGTCCTATAGGTGTAACCTCAGAGCTGAGGTGTTTGAAGGTGATAGGCAAATAGTGTGAGCTACAAAGCTGTAAGCAGCGGAATGTCACTAAATTTCATTTCCCTGGGGAAGCTCTCCTGGTCACCCAAACACCTGGCCGTTAACAAGCAGAGAGGAGACATTGTGCCTCAGAAATCCTTTGCTTGCCAGGAGCATCGCAGGGGTCTATTTCACAGTGCGGAGAAGTCAGCTGCAAAGCAAACATCCCTTTCTAGCAGCATGGCAATGTTTTGAGGAGCACGAAAGATTTAGACTCTACACAAAAAGGACACAACCTTTTCTTTACCTCTTCATCATGGTGGTAGATGCCAAAAAAGGTAGCAAAAGCTCTGCAGCCCTCAGTGTACCTGAACGCTTTGCTGTCTGTGGGAGGGAGCTGGGGCTTTGCCACCAAGGTCTGGATGTTGCTGTAGTTGAACTTCATATTAAAGGTCTGTGACAAAAAAGGGCTGATCTATGGCTTATCAGGCACTTATGTGCTGGGTAATTCCTTTCTGGCAACAATGTCCTCTTTATTTGACAAATAATTTCTCGGTTGCTGTGTGTAGTTAAATGTAAACCTATTGTATTTACTTCCTTTCTTCTGAAAGGAAGAAGAAAAGAACTAGCTAATTTTCCCAAGTCTTCTTTCTTTATTTGCCTGTTCAAAGTCCCTCAGAAGAGACAATGAGAATCCATCATTTGGATCAGGGTCATTAACAAAAACCGGACAAAGCTTCCTTTTAAAGCCCATCCCTTGACTAATACAAAATGAGTGTGTGAAAAGGCAATTTTAGTTGGCTTCTTTTCTTGAACTTTAGAGAGAAGTGGGTACAATGCTGATATTTCTACGAGAAAACAGATTTTTATCAATATCTGCTGGGGCTAGATAGAGCTGCACACTTTCTGTTAATGAACTTGCAACTTACAGTCTTTTTTGATGCTGGAAATCAAAGGCAGCCCTGATGAAGTGCTCATATGCAGTTTTATTTATTTCAGTGATCTTTTTTTTTGGTTTGATTTCTTTTTAATGTTTGGCACTGTAATGAAAGGTGAAGCAGTGGAGCTTGAATGGTTAATGTACACCTAGATACAGGCCTCATTGTTCAAGTTGTATTGTTTTCTTCATCATGTTTGTTCTTTTTAGCCACTCTGTTTATTTCTTTCACTTTACCCATGTATTTTATCCCTTCCTTCCAGCTGTTTGTTCTAGTCTGTGGATACCTTGACTATTGTACTTCAAATATGATTCAATCTTTCTTCATTTCTTTCCTTCTTTCTTTTCTCCCAGGCTATGTTCTCAACCAACCGAGGCACAGTAGGTGGATTTTTCCTGGCTGGACGAAGCATGGTTTGGTGGCCGGTGAGTGCTATACGTTGTCTATATACAGAAAGCATTTGTATGTGTGTATCCACTTCCATATGATTATGTCTAGTCTTTAAATATTAAGTATCTCTAGAATACTGTTGAGACTATGGTGGCTATTTCATGTAGATGCACTTCAAACTCTTTCTCTAGCTGTGGTGACACAGGGCAAACTGCACAACAAAAGCCACCTGATTGATAGGCAGGCAAAAGTCTTGGGGAAGTTGCCTGTGTTGAGATCTCAGCTATCTTGATTATGTGAACAACTTGTTTGAACCTAAATACTTTGGTAATGTCAGTGCAGACAAATGCAGTACTTTGCCTTTCAGCCCACCTTAAAACTTCTTATTCCTTTCACTGCACTCAAAGAAGCTGTCTCATTGTGAGGTTATCACAGAGAAGAATTGATTCACTGGAATTTCTCCCTGAATTGCTCTGTTGTTCCCACTTTTTGTAACAAGTTCTGGTCAGTGGAAAAAGACAATCCTAGAAATATTGTGATAAGTTCGTTATTGGAAAATGCAGTTTAAATTTATTCAAAGGTTGTGACTTGCATTGGTTTTCTTCTGTGGATCTGTATTCTCTTCTAAGGTGGAGAAAAGGAGTCACGGATAATGAAACATGATCATAGCCATTCATCAGGCCTGTGGCAGAAACGGTATTAGAAACAATTATCTATTTCTTTCAGACCATACAGTCTATTTAGTGTGGCCTCTTGGAACAGAAGAAAACTTGGACAAACCTGCATTTTCTGTACTGGTTGTACTGTACATGCTTCCATGCTCTTGAATGGAAATCCTCAACATTCCTGATCTTGCTTTCGTTCTCCGAAATTGTTTTTGCACTTCATTAAGACTTTTGATTCAAGATTCCACTCCCATGGATTCAGTTACAGGGTCAGAGAGAGAGAGAGTAAATATTTGTTGTCTAACAATTTAGGAATCTTCTTAAAGTGGGCTGCAGAAATCCCTACACATCTTTCAGTCTTTTCGTGCTTCAGGGAGCTGCTCTCTGCCTTTAGAAGGCTTGGGCCTTTTTATTGACATAGAAAGATTAAAGACCGATGACAGTAAAAAGTTCCTCATTTGGTATAGTAGATCTAAGAAAATTCAGGTTCCATTGGAAGATCGAGGAAAGAGAAAGTTTCCAAGTTATTTTAAGATAAATCCTCTCTCTCTCCTAGGAGGAGAGAAAAAACCCAAACAGATTACTTTGCTTAACCATCACTTTAGTTTGTGGGCTGGTTTTAATCTTGTGCAATTCTTGTATGCCTGTCAAGGGTGAATATGAATACCCTTTTGTGCAGATGTAAATTAAGACGGAAGAAACAAGGCAGGAAAGACTCACCATAAAAAACTTCTGTCTTGTGCAGTGGCACTGAGAACTCCTAATGAATCCCCTAAGGCCCAGGGAAGATTATCTAACAGTGAGTTCTCTGCCAGCACAAACCCAACAGATTCAGCAAGCTCCAATACTCCAGGTGGGAAACAAAAAGAATGGCCCCAGGGTGCAGTGGTTGCTGCTAGGTTCATCTCTCTCTCCTTCCCAAACTCTGTGAGCTCAGCATGGATGAAATGCTAGTCATCAGTGGAGTCCTAGACCACCCCTTTGGGCCTTCCCTTTGGAATGCCAGGAGCATCTTTCTGCACCATAAAAATAAACCCTTCTTGCTATTCTTCCTGGTATCACTCAGAATAAACAAAGGGCAAGCACTCAAACCACAAACTAAATACCAAGTCAGCAGCACCACCTTGCAAAGTTTGCCTTGGATAAGGAGAGATTCCAAAACACCTATTCCCACGGTTTAGCAGGTAGATAGGATGTCCATCACCCAGTGCAAACTGGGTTGGAATGACTTGGAAACCAATGAAAGTATAGAAAGTTCAGTCAAAGATGTGATCTCAGTTCTGCACCAGCTAGTACTGTGTGTACTTTTTTACTTCTTTTATGCTTTGACTTTTCTGTTGTGCCACATCAGGACTAGCTTGGCATGGTTCTGGAAAGCCCAGATGCATTTCCACAGAGTGTAGATGGGAGGCAGGGTGAGGGAAGTTGTTTTGTGAGTGGACTCTTATTTATCATATTTCTTCCCTGCAATTCAGGATAAGGCCCCTTGCTGTGTAACTGCTTTCTGAAACACTTGAAAAGTTGAATTCCCTTCAAATAATAGTATTTTTCAGTGGTTGTGTATGTTCTGTGCTCTACAGGGCAGGCAGAAGTGGCTTTTCTGACCTCACAGGGAAAG